TCTGGGATCCGTATTTTCCATTCTGGTGCCTTGTCGCAGATAACAGTTAATTATTGGTTACGTTGCCGCGGCTACTTCTCGCGCTAAAACGGCATTACCGGTCGCCTGTTACTTTCGAAGCATCGCGCTGCTTAATCACAAGCCGCGCGGTGGTATAGCACGCGCGCACCCAAACGCACGCACGCAAACGCGCACAGAATCAGAAACGCGCGGGCGAGACTCGTCGTTCTGTCGGTAGGAAACGTCGCGACGTAATGAGGAACGTTTTACCGATTACTTTCCTTGGTACCGGGAACGGTTAATCGGAATAATGGCTGGCGGATGAAGTCATTCGAGACGCAGCCGCGAGACAACGTTCGACATGTCGTGGCAAACCTGTCCTGGGATCGTGGAAGAATAATCGTGTTGGGTTGTCGCGTCGGAATGCCAATCGAGGAAATTGATGATCGGGGCAACCGTCCGATCGAAATTGTGCGCACCGTTTCAAAGCCTTTTCACGTTCGAATGGTTCGTTGTTGGGCTTACGGTATAGACAGAATTTGGAAGATTAATGAGATGCTTTGGGCGAACGTAGAAATTCTGAAAAATAAACTCGGGCAATGTTGCAGGATATTCGAGGCATGGTCGAACAGAAACGACAATAGAATTTAGCGCAATTTCAAATTTAGCATTTGTACCGATCGATATGGACTGCGGTCTTGTGAAATAAAATATATTTTCACGAACTGCAATAGACATTTATCTTTTCTCCGATTCCTTTTAACTAGCTAGAAACGATACAACAGTATTACAAAAGTTTTTTAATATTTTCACCGTTCCGCATTCGATCCACACACATTTTTGTGATAAATGCACGAAAATCCGCGGTCTACTAATCGAGATCAGATTTGATGCAGCAAGACACCGGTGGAAGGAAAGCGAAAGATAATTACTGCTCGAAGAGACAGACTCCTAAGTCTGAGAGAACAGGGTGGGAGCGTCTCCTGCTGGGAGCTCGGGGATCAGCTGATTTGGTCGCAGGGCCGTCAGCTGATTTTGACAGCCTGGACGACCTTGCGCGCATCCTGACGCTTCGCGCGCCACTAATTTAAACGGACGACTGCACTCGCGGTCGCGCATCGTAAAAAGTGTAACAAAGGCTTATCTGTTTATCGACGCACTCGTGAAACTACGTTTCTGAAGAGCAAACTATTTGAAGATACTGTTAGCAAACGTTTAGCTTAAGTATCATCGAATCGGCGCAATCAGCAAGATCGACAAACAATGCCAACTATTCGCGATTAGAGTAAATGCAATCTTATCCTTTTACTGAATGATTATTTTCGAAAACTCTAAAGAGTAATTACAATCTCGTCTTTTTACCAAACGATTATCATCGGAAACTCTTAAAGTCGGAAGTCGGAAGTCGAACTGTACAGTGTCGCTATAAAATGTTGTTACGACTTTTTGAGAAATTACTACTAGCCGACGCGTTATTTGAACGACGTCGACGTATATGCGTAGCGAAAATAGGACAAGAACGATGCAATCCCGAATACGAAGCATTAATTGCGCCCGTGCCGGGCGTTAATTAACGCCGACAGGCCAACAGTTTCCCGCATTTATACTTTTCTATGCGAAAAGAGATTCCGACTTGAAGCTGTACGGAACTTAATTGAATGCGGTTTTAAAACGGGCGTCGACCAGAACAAGCAGACCTTGAAATATATTACCATGGGACACATAAGGATGGCCAACGGATCCAGCCATGGCGCCTCGTGCGTGCGCGTTGTTCCGCTCGCCAGAGGATTAGCTATATCTATCCTGGGGCCACCAGCGACCACGATCAATAATTCATTTCCCAGCTGTCACGCCCTTGTTTGGTAAATTCGCGCCATCAAGAAAGCCGTTACGCATTCCGACTATCGCCGATCGCGATTAGTAGTCTTCGATACCGCGAAGCAATCTCGCGGATCCATGGACGTCGCCATTTTTACTAGAACGGGAAGTACCGACGATGAACCGATTCAGAAAACTCCGCTCGATAGCAGGCAAATTCTGTAGAAAAATAGAATTCTTGAGAAGGAATAGACCCAAAACACGGCGATCGGTACTTCTTGTTTAATTTCGTTATATTTTTCTGCATGGTTGACTGGTCCTAATGTTCTAATAAAAAGTTCATCATCCGCGAAAAACTCCCGCGAGAAAATGTCCACTTGTCCCGTGTAAAGACGTATCGTTCTTCTTATGAAAGCGAACACGCCATCTCATTAGTCTTCTCATCGTCATCCAGCGGGGAAGGTGTTTTTGGATAGCTTCGCATTTTGTGCGGATCAGAAACGTGGCCACCTCTGAGGGATCCTGTTTGAATGGATCGTTTCGCGTTCCCTCGTTCCGAGTGTCCTCCCACGGAATTACAGATGCCGGCAGGTAACTCTTTCTCTGTACGGGTTGCTAACGCCCTCAGAAAACTGAGTAACCACCAGCTGTGTTCAACCACATTATTACCTACTGAGTGAACGCAGAGTGGCTCCCTGTCCTCCGAGAGCTCGTTCCGGTTTGTTTCCGTTCCGTTTTTACCGACCGTGCGCCAGTCCAACGGTGTACGCATGCGCCTCGTCTCGCCACCACCGACGATCGACTCGTTCAAACTTGTAGAAGGAAACGCGGCGGCGGCGTCTGGTCCTCGTCGCATCTTCGTCATAATTTCATCCTGTTCGGCAAATTCTTCGTTCTCGTCCTTGAGCTTTCCTTATTAAATACTAAAGCATTCTTCTGCGACGAAAGTTGCGGACCGTTCGATTATACGAGCCGTTGTTTTCAGAAACGTGATATTATCTCGGCGACCTCACCTAGCAGGATACACGGGACACGATCGTTCCGATTAGATAAAACGCGAACAGTTTGAAAGCAACGATAAGGAACCTGCAGATTCGCGATCGATCTTTCGACCGAGAGCGAGAAGAAGAACTTTGGCTCGATACGAGCCCGCGGAACACGATAAAGTATCTTTCGGCAAACACGTGTATCGAGATAGCGTAACCGCGATAACTACGCGCGGCAAAGAGATCGATACGAGAAAGCTAATCGGACAGAAGCGAATATCGTTGTTCGGTTGACACGTATACCACGGGCGTACGAAACGCGCGAGATATATGGAACCAATAAATCGCCACCTGTCGGGACTTGATCGATTCCGCAATAATTTTCCGCGCTGTACCGACGAGTGTCCACCGAATCAATTAATTCTACAACCAAAAGAGCTACACCAGGTGGCGTTAAACACCGGACAATGGGAACCCTTCGTTGGTTATAATTAATCGGAGCGATAAATCTCGTCGATGTCTCGAGAAAAAAAAGTACAGTCCCGCCATTACTGTTTATAAAAGTACCGGACTTTTTTTTATCAGTTAACCCGCAAGAAATGTAGAACCGTCGCGACGGCTATAATTCAAACGTACCGATGATTAATCGTTCCTCGAGCTCGCCGATTTCCTCCACGATTGTCCGCCCACTCTGTCTTCCAGTTTCGCCGAAGGGTCGACACGAAAAAACAGTGTCAACGGAAAAATACGGAAAGATGAGCGCGCGCGCGCGCGCGCGTGCGATGGGAACAATTATATAATCTCGATACACCGTTTAAAAAGCCCCTGCCGTGCGTTTACGATTTATCTTATCGAGCGCCGGCGACACTGCACTCTTGCATCCGCGCGCACGACAATAGCCGAGAGCAAACAATGTGGGTGGGAGCATCTCGATCGCGGCACCAACCTGCGCTGATCAAACATCACGGCGGCTTTTTGTATACCCGACGGTAGGCATCGAGTTTCAAGGTTACGCGATAAGTCGGTCAAGTCAGGGTTATCGGGAACCTCTTCACTGCGATGCAGACTCACACACTCTCCCTCTCTCTCTTTTTTTCTCTCTCTCTCCCTCTTCCTAATGAATAGCCAAGATGCGACTGCACCGATGCATAATTTTTGAGGCGATGATCGCTGGCAGTGAACTTCTGTTACCAAATCTGACTTAGACAACTCGGAATCAATCATCGGTCACCGAACGCGTTAACGTTTTAACTGTCAGCATCAAAAATTGCATGCAATGGAAACATATGTTTGCATAAAACAAAAATTGAAAAATATAGTTTGTACCATATCAATTACTTTGTCGACATTATATATATATACGGTCGATCCTCGTAGAAATTAATTTGCAAATCTAAGCAAATAATTTCGTCATCCGTGTGGGTGTGACGCGACAGTAAAAATGTTATTTTAAATAATTTCGATTTTATGGGTAATATTATCGTAATTTCTGAATAATTTTAATCGATTACCAGACCCGAGTCTAGCAACTAGGAATTAAATTATACCGATGGAGCATAATTCGTAGATTGTTTTGCATTTGAACAAAAGTTAAATTCCAAGAAACACTTAAAACTGAGTTAGGCGCTTTGGGTTAAATTCTTTCGGCTGGTCTTTTATACCGTCAATTCTTGTCCAACGCAAGAAGCTTACTATTTCATAGTTTCATCGATAACTTATGCGTACTACCTCCCGCATTCGAATGCTCCGTGCCTCGAGCATTCGAAAAATTCGCGACTGTTCATTGAGCACTGGAAGCGGGCCAATCAGAGATTTACAGGAGAAAGAGCGCGCGATTACGCACTTCGACGCGCGCGAATGACGTCACAGCGTGACGCGTACGTGTACGCAGGCACGCACGAGATACGCGGAGCGATTACGGTGGATCGTAACAGAATAAAATAGCGTTCGGAGGTGTAACACGCATTCCGAACATTTCGTACTTTTCACTATCTCCGAAAATATGTAATAATTAATAAGTAGATCGATTTTATTCCGTCTCTTTAATTATTAGCTCGCAATGGCGTCGCTCCAATTGCGCATGAAATTATATCTCGATCGAAATTATCGGGAGAAATTGTTTGAAATTTTATTCTGTCGCGATTACCACCGTCGGTAAAATCTGAAACAAGAAAACAGGGGTTTCGCAGTACTTACAGTCTGCTGCTGGGCTCGTTGCTCGCTTCGTCACCCTCGATTCGATACACCTTGCCGGACATCACGTACTCAAAACTGTCTGCTCTGGAACCTCCTTCCTGTTCCGTCGCGTTCCACTCCCCTCCATCGGGATATCCGTCTTCCCTCAAGGTCGTCGCGAGCACCAGGCGAAATTTATCACCTGCAACCGAAACGTTAGGATTCCATTTTGAAGAAAGCTGCCAGCGAAAACTGCGCATCTAGGCGGTCGCTAGTATCTCATCGATTTGAAACGTCGATGCGGCGAAGACCGACCGCAGCGGAAACAGAAAAACTGACGTTCAAAAATAAATCTCGAGGTAGCTGCATCGAAAATACATTGGGGGCGTTGCAGACTGGTACGTTTAACGAGGTTCACGGTTGATCGCGTAAACCAATAGACCCGCCATGTCTGCTGGTTCCACGAATGCCATGGTACATCACCGCAAATATCAACCGAATTATCGTCTGTGCGAAAAATTCTGAATTTCCAGTGAGAGGATCGATCTCCCGTATGACAGATGAAATTCGACGAAGCTTGTCCACGCCGAATATTCGATATACGTCCAATAAATAAATTGTATCCTGATCGTAGTACGATAATAAAATGGTGAGAAACCACCGTCCCGAATTTCCGATGATGTTGTATCGTACACGTATTGCGGAAGTATCGCGATACACGGTGCGGAACGAAGCACGAAAACTGTCGTAAGTCGCGGCGTTTATCTGCAGCCACCGTTGATTATGCAACAGACCGACGTAAGGTAATTAAAATTCTAAAACTGTTACGACCAAATGCTAGCCGAACGAACGAGAATGATCGAACTTGAACAGAATATTTTCGGAAAAACTGCGGATCTCGGTCGAAGCATAAGATTTCGTTTTTCTTTCTTTAAGGCCTTTAAAACGTCAAAATATACTACCACAATTGACTGATCTATTCGATTTGAAACTAGATTCGCTTTATCGCAAAGACAAATTCGAAATACACCGAGAGGACTTTGAAAAAGAGATTAACCCGCACAGGATGAAAGACAAGTGGCAAAGCGCGGTGGGAATGATGCCAACGAAATGGTCTACGATTGTGAAAAATGCGAAGAAGTTTGTACGTTGACAAAACTTTAGAAAATGTACCAATATTTGTTGTAGATCCGCATTACGACGTTCTCAGCTTCCTATCGAACTACACGTCCCCGACTAAACTGTTCCGGTGACCCTTACCGTTGTTTTCATCAAACCCGTTAACCCTAACACCTTTCTTACTGGACCGAACAATTCTGCGAACGCTCGCCACCGTGTTCGACCCGGCAATTGGGTAAAACTGCCCCGATTCGCTCTGCTCTGCTAAAACTAGCAGAGTCCTTCGCGCAAGACTCGGAGAACAAGGGTCAAGGTTAAATCCAGGGTACGCCGACGATAGATATAGCTACGGTAATCGATAATGGCCGTGGCAATGCCGAGAGCGGAGAAAGAAACGGCGAACGAAACGAAGTCGGTGAGTTCGCATAGCCAATTGATCATCATATTGCGATGCGTAGGGTCAGGCTTACATCATAATACCGCTTTAACGATTATAGATTATCTAGTTGAGCGATGCACGACCGTATCCCAGGGCACATTAACGGGTTCACGTGATTTAAAACAGCAACCTTGGCAGTGACGGCTCGAGCATACCGGTCATTTGCTCGGTAAGGCGCATTAACGTGCAGCGATAAACTCCGTCCGCCTGAACACCATTTTTCGAGCGCGGTGAATCAGCTACGAACCAGCCGCGTAAACATACACCGCCGTTTTTAAACGTTAACGCGATTCTTCGTGCTAATTCGAACGCTACACGGTAAAAACGATAGACAACGAAATTGTAAAGAGTAATTATATTGCACCTGGTGTGTACCATGTCATCCAGGAACGTCGACCATCCGGGCGCAGAGAGGTTTAACAACTGTCCCGGGACTACCGAAAACCGCCATCTTGTCTCGTGACGTCAAGCACGATCGCGGGGAGAGAACGAGCGAGAGACAGCGACGGACAGATAGACGGAGAGGGAGAGGGATAGGAGGACGATAGTTTATATCCATTCTTCGTATGATGCGCATCCGCATTCGCCGCGCAGGACGTCCCGTTCTTGTCCTCCTCGAATAGGTACATACATATACGTATATGTGTTCCACGCACCTGTCACGACCTTGCCGCTGCACAGGCGGTTCCCGCGACGGGACACGATAACGCACGAACCTTCCCGACCGATTGCGCATCGTTTTGACGTTTATACTCCAATTGCGATCACTTTCGTTTCCCTTCCTTCTTTCGTTCCGGGATCGCAGCAAAACCGCGATTCGACCCGTCCGGTTCGCTTCTGGGTTAACGATGTTAGTTAACAGGGTTAGTCGTGCTTTGGTTGACAAGCTGTGAGAAAAAGAAACGAAGAATCGGCGGCGCGCTTAAGCGCTTCGAAGGAGGAAAAAGCGCGCGCAACGGGCAAGGTTAAACGCGGATTGACGCGGTGCGACGGCGACGACGATATCAACGACGAACGAATTGAAACGGTGGACGTGCGGACGAGAGAGCACACGATCAGACAGCACGGGACACACACACGACCACTTCTTCTCTCGGCGAGCGACGAGTAATATCGCGCGAGACCGACACGGCTGCGAGCCGTGGCCGTTTTGACCTTGGCATTGAACTTATGGGAGCTGCCGGGTGAGGCGGGAGGGAGGGGCAGGACCGGCGCTCGAGGGAGGGGATTCTTCGCAGAATGTGGCACGGGCTAAGCGGCGCGAGAGAGGGAGAGAGAGAGAGAGAGAGAGAGAGAGAGAGAGAGGGAGATTGCGTCATCTCGCGCAAGCCTGTGCGCCGCGCGTCAATACAGCCGGACTGCCTGGCCCTACGGGCTAACCTTCGCTCTCACCCCTTCCGTCCCGCCCCTGCCCCTCCAACGCTCCTCCAGTGCTCTTGCTCGATCGAGTTTCTTCCTGCAAATTCGATCTCGGTATTTTTTGTCGTGGCCAGAGGGAATAATTTTCATCCGCGCCAAAGAGCTTTTCCAACCAGCGAATCACGAACACGGTGTTCGCCTCACGGTATCTCTGATAACTGGATCGTACGAAAAGTAGGGTACCAGGGTGGTAAAAAGAAACTGGGGACGAAACAGGAGATGCGGATGCAGAAGCGGTGTACACCTGGCCGCCGCTAAACTTGACCCGGAATCGAAGTTTCATCTACGGAATTGGATTGTTTTCAGANCATTAACGGGTTCACGTGATTTAAAACAGCAACCTTGGCAGTGACGGCTCGAGCATACCGGTCATTTGCTCGGTAAGGCGCATTAACGTGCAGCGATAAACTCCGTCCGCCTGAACACCATTTTTCGAGCGCGGTGAATCAGCTACGAACCAGCCGCGTAAACATACACCGCCGTTTTTAAACGTTAACGCGATTCTTCGTGCTAATTCGAACGCTACACGGTAAAAACGATAGACAACGAAATTGTAAAGAGTAATTATATTGCACCTGGTGTGTACCATGTCATCCAGGAACGTCGACCATCCGGGCGCAGAGAGGTTTAACAACTGTCCCGGGACTACCGAAAACCGCCATCTTGTCTCGTGACGTCAAGCACGATCGCGGGGAGAGAACGAGCGAGAGACAGCGACGGACAGATAGACGGAGAGGGAGAGGGATAGGAGGACGATAGTTTATATCCATTCTTCGTATGATGCGCATCCGCATTCGCCGCGCAGGACGTCCCGTTCTTGTCCTCCTCGAATAGGTACATACATATACGTATATGTGTTCCACGCACCTGTCACGACCTTGCCGCTGCACAGGCGGTTCCCGCGACGGGACACGATAACGCACGAACCTTCCCGACCGATTGCGCATCGTTTTGACGTTTATACTCCAATTGCGATCACTTTCGTTTCCCTTCCTTCTTTCGTTCCGGGATCGCAGCAAAACCGCGATTCGACCCGTCCGGTTCGCTTCTGGGTTAACGATGTTAGTTAACAGGGTTAGTCGTGCTTTGGTTGACAAGCTGTGAGAAAAAGAAACGAAGAATCGGCGGCGCGCTTAAGCGCTTCGAAGGAGGAAAAAGCGCGCGCAACGGGCAAGGTTAAACGCGGATTGACGCGGTGCGACGGCGACGACGATATCAACGACGAACGAATTGAAACGGTGGACGTGCGGACGAGAGAGCACACGATCAGACAGCACGGGACACACACACGACCACTTCTTCTCTCGGCGAGCGACGAGTAATATCGCGCGAGACCGACACGGCTGCGAGCCGTGGCCGTTTTGACCTTGGCATTGAACTTATGGGAGCTGCCGGGTGAGGCGGGAGGGAGGGGCAGGACCGGCGCTCGAGGGAGGGGATTCTTCGCAGAATGTGGCACGGGCTAAGCGGCGCGAGAGAGGGAGAGAGAGAGAGAGAGAGAGAGAGAGAGAGAGAGAGAGGGAGATTGCGTCATCTCGCGCAAGCCTGTGCGCCGCGCGTCAATACAGCCGGACTGCCTGGCCCTACGGGCTAACCTTCGCTCTCACCCCTTCCGTCCCGCCCCTGCCCCTCCAACGCTCCTCCAGTGCTCTTGCTCGATCGAGTTTCTTCCTGCAAATTCGATCTCGGTATTTTTTGTCGTGGCCAGAGGGAATAATTTTCATCCGCGCCAAAGAGCTTTTCCAACCAGCGAATCACGAACACGGTGTTCGCCTCACGGTATCTCTGATAACTGGATCGTACGAAAAGTAGGGTACCAGGGTGGTAAAAAGAAACTGGGGACGAAACAGGAGATGCGGATGCAGAAGCGGTGTACACCTGGCCGCCGCTAAACTTGACCCGGAATCGAAGTTTCATCTACGGAATTGGATTGTTTTCAGAGGAAGCTGTTTCTCATGCGGTACAACTACACAGCGGAAGTACCGTCGTGTTCGATGATTTCGCAACGAATCTCGACAACAGGGAGGAGCGTACGAAAATGAAAATGGCAATTACTACTGCACGGAATGGCACGTTGTAGATGTACTGGCAACCTCCAGTAGCTAAGTTACACTTTTACTGGAAGTAGCTTCGAACGACGTTGCGATTCGATTCTGCCAGATGGTGAGCGAGTGATCGCAAACTTACCAGAAGCGAAACGAGACAACTGTGTCTGGCGGTATGCGCTCGAAATGCTGGTTTGAAAGTCGCGCAGGGGGACACGGAACAGAAGAAACTGTTTTAGCGAAAATGGGAGGCAGGGGAACAGGATACGAATCTGTAAACAGAGAGAACGCGGGTGGAGGTGGATCAGCGTTGCAGTTGCGCCCCACCCCCGACCCCCTTCCCCAGGCACGAGTGGGTGTGGACGCACCCACTCCCTCTGCAGCGACCGAATCAACGGGATACATCCAGAATTGTCCGTGGGGCGAGTTAAAATGACGATATTCCAGGGGGTTGGTGGGGGATTGCTTTGCTGCAGCGTGACGTGGCCTTGGGCACACTTTACCAACCCCCCCGATGCACAGTATCACGAACACCGATTCTTTCTCCACCTCTTTCGCGAGCTGACGTAGGTCGAAAAGGAGAAATCTCGCTGTCGCGAAATTTCGAGCAACGTGTCGGATAAAACGAACTGGACAAATTTCAGCTTTTATAGGGCAAACAAAAGTGGAGGGGGCTAGGGGAAAAGAAAAATGCAAAATTTCATTTTCTCCGTCGCTCCTCTTGTGCTTCGACGAAGGGAAACGTCTAGAAGAAGAAACGACGTGCGCAGTTTCTTTTGTACAAAAAAAGTCCGTTCGAATTGCGACGTAGTTAACGAAGTCGCATTAAACTTCATCGAAGTTTGTCTCGTATCTCGAAGATTCGAACGATAAGTGCCGGCAGTTTAATAAACAGTTTAGCCCCGAGCGTGTTTTCTGAATAGACGACGGAGTCTCTCAGTCGCAGCCCAACGATGGAGAACGAAGAATGGTCACTTTACGGCATCGCTTTGTAACCCCTAAATTGGAACGGCACGTGTCCCCGCAACGAAAGCTCTCCATTCGCGGAAAAAGCGACGCGAGTCACCTTGAGACGGTTATAAAGTTGAAGCGACTTGCTCCCGCAGCGGAACACGTTCCGCCAGTGTCCATTACCGAGGTCGCCCTTCCGACGTCTGGCCGAGAAGCGGAAGGACGACGGGAAGAAAAAGACTGGGTCCGGGGAGCACGTGTGTTGTCCGTGAGCGTGAAACACGTGTCACGCTCGCGAAAGGGCAGCCCTCCGCTCCGATCGATCCTCTCGACGCCGATCTCGCGCGCGCCTCCCGATACAGAACAGCGATCTTGGCTTCACCGTTGCGATGGTTTGGCATGCACGGCTCGACCGGACGTGAGAGAGCTCTCGAAAATTCGCTGAACAAGGAAAATAGAAACCCGACTTTCGTCTGTGCCAAATGCGTCTCGAACTCGGACGTTCCGCGACTTTCACGAGCCTGCTGCATCCTCTTCTACGCTTCAGAATCCGCGACGATGGATATTTCAGTCGCCGATGAATGGAAATACAGTGATGTGAATAATTATAGACTCGCAGTAACTTTTACATTTTTCGCGATATTTCAACAGAAAACATTGCAAAGCGTCATGTTTTTCAATATCTAGAAATAATAGAAAATGGAAATATACAGTTTATTTTTTGCTTTCTGTTCAAACATCACAGTAACAATGTATAAGTTACTCTATGAATTTATAATTATTCATAGCACTATGGGTGGCCTCCTTTAGCACGGACACCCGATATATTTAAACAAACTATCGACAAAATATCACGTTTGCGTATGTCAATATTAGACATAATATTGAAAATAGAAATATACAGATGCGATATTTTGTTCGCTTTTCGTTTCGACATCGATGCCGATGTAAGAGATACTTTGTGTCTATAATTATGCGCACCACTGTAGGAGGCAGCTAGAGCCGATTCGCCGAGCGTTCCCGACCGTCTTTTTAATCCGTGGATTTCTCGATTCCAACGGTGTCGCGTGGGATCATTGAAAATGAATTCGCGAGGAGACGCTATTTGCACCGAGTATTCGCAAACAGCAACGGCTATTTATTTTCCGATGGGAACGTGGAAGGTATCGAAAATAGACTTCCACCTTGGTAAATCGAGGAAGGGATGGGAGGTTCGTTCGACTCGGCGACCGGAAATTACAACGGCACTCGGGTGCGCGCGAAAAGACGATGACGGGGGAAAGGGGTGGGCAGGCACTGCCATGAAAAATGAAGCTCGGTTTTAATTCGTACGCTATCGGCTACCACCCATGATTATTTTTCCACTCTCGCCGGCGCGGCGAAACCGTTGTTAAGCGAAACGACGAACCCCCTGGCTCTGCAAAATTTACACACTGCCGGGCGTATCGATCAAGTACACACGGTGCTCGTGAGACAGGCGCCGTGTAAACAAACACGCTGGAGTCGTGACAGGACCGCTGCGATATGGCAAACAAAATTTTCATGCGATGCAAGCCAACCGTCGACGGCGAAGACAGTTTAATTACTTTCCTCTCGCAACGACCGTCACGGACGTGAATTTCTAATCCCGGTCCGGGGGTCGCCCGGTACACAGTCGTTCCAGCGTGGGAGGAATGCCGGCGAAAATCGCGACGCGTTGTCAATCATCTCGATACGGGACCGACAGTCCATCGCCATTTTGAGGAAACCGTAACGCGACCGCCGCAGCTGGTGCTGGCGTCCCAGCGCAAGCTGGTCATTTCTTCCCCGTCGTTTTCGGAAAATTACTCGTCGAAAACTCGTCGTCATGTTAATCCGGATAGAAGTTCGAACTTATCGCTCATCCCCGTCCATTACACCGCGTTATTATCGGAGAAACTGAAAAGCGATTTCGACGTATCCTCTCGACAAAAGATGGCTACTAGTTTTCGTTACGAAGGAAGCACTCGTTGGAAAGAGAGCAATCGCGTATCTGTCGCTTGTAAGTTACATCGATGGAAGTTCAAAGTTGACAATTTCCTTCGTCTCGTGGCAATCGCGGTAAACACGATTTCTACAGATGTTTCCAAAGGTAACGCGAAAAGAAGCGTCGTTACATCATCGAGAACAGTTCGACATTGTTTTGCCCATAGTTACGAAACTCCATCGTGCGGGTCGAGCCTGTGAAACCAGACGTTGTCGAAGAGACTTTTCGAATTCGGAGAGACGGTTGCTGCTTGTATCTCCCCGTCTAAAATGAGCCGTTAATCTTGTTGACGGGACCTAATGAGTACCAGACGAGCCTCTCCCCGCACGAACTATATATTTTTCAAGGCCCGGAAAGTGTCGCTGCTGCCGGCGGAGTTCGAAGGCGGCGAATATTCGCAAACTATTTTTTTTCGTTTACGTAACACAATTCTAATTAAAGAAACGGCGTTTCCGAGAAGTTCGACTAGCTGAATCTATAATACCCCGGCAGAATATCGTGACCGAAAATAAAATGTTTCGAGGAGTTCATGACCAGAACGTCGAGCAATCGAAATCGAAATTGTAATTTCTTATGCAATCGCGAGCGCAGTTTTATCGCCGTATGCACACGGGCAACGCGTTTATTTATAAATAATCGTACGAAATTCAAATATCAAACAGGAGTCCAAAGGTATCATCTTGTCGCGTTCGTTCCACCACAAGTGAAATGTAAACGGTAGAAAGCGGTTATTCCGCTTGCATTTGCATAAACGGGAACACAAAGTTGATTTGAATAAACACTCACCCAGATCCATGGGGTATAGCCAGCTGTTGATGTCCAGGATCAGGTCCATCTTGAAGGACTCGGACTCGCAATGGAGCCTGCTCACTGCATCCCATCATCATCGATCGCCGCGCGCCGTCGTAGAAACCGGAAAAACAAGCAAATGGAAGGACATGATCGTTAGACGGTCGTTTATTTTCAGAAAGATGTCGCCGATAAGGAAAGCGGACTGGCGATTTGGTCGCGTGGTCGAAAAAAGAAAAAAAGAAAAAGAAACGAACGAAACGGAAAAAAAGTGTCGAACGCAGAAGAAGACTGCGAGGGCGTCACGTGGCGCAACATGACTCATAAATCGACGTAAGGTTCCCAATCGCGCGTCTTCGATTGGCAAAGAGAGGGGGAGGGGGGGGGGATGTGTATATTTTTTTACGAGCCTCGCGAAACGCGACGCAGCCGTGCTACTTGACCGGCTGGCCACCGGCTGCTTGACGTCACTGTCAGTCAGCCAATCGCATTTGATTCGCGATACGAATTTATCGCCGTGCCGACACTCGCGAAACTCACCCACACTCGCAGCACGAGGGCTCGAACGTTCGGAAATGCGCACTCGTTCATGTACACGGTGACCGAGAAACAACGATCGTGCAGTACGGAACTGAAACGCGGCGTCGTCGAAAGCAACGAGAAACAATTTATCGATGGCGGTTCTAAAAAAAAACAAAAAAAAACGGAAAAGCAAAAACAGATTAATCCGAAGGATAATTTAACAGCCAATTTTCACTGCCGGAAGTAGGAGTACTCGATTACGGATTTAATCACTTAATGGGAACTCCCCACCGCGGCCGAAGCTAACATCGTCGAGATAAATAAATATCGTAGGTCAATCGGTGTGATATATTTAGATGCAGATATTGTGCATTTATAGAATAATAAAAATACAACGCTGCATCGAGAATTCTATCTCTTGTTGCCGGTTTGAAAAATCGATCCGCTAATATTTGAAGTTTGCTTGAATGGGCGCAGCCCGGTAATGACGCATCCGCTGTTCTATGATAATGTATTGCAGAACGATTAACGCCCAACGATCTCTATCCGTGAAACTTTCTGGAGAATATTGCAGGAAATATTTTGTGCATCGATTGCTTTCAACTATGCCACCCTGTATGCAGTAATTTGCACCCGCACTCGTTTACACGCACGTGTCCCAGACAACACACGTAAATTTCCAGTAATCATCGTATCGACTGTTTTTCTCGATTTTCCTTTTGCGCTCGTTCATTCTAGAAACTCGACCGTGCACGGCTCCCAATAAATGAACAAATTCCATCCTCTCCCACTTCCTGTTCGCCTACCCGCCGTTCCATATGGTGATCCAGTACGGGTAACAGAACCATAAATCGTTTAAGTAAAATGTCGCGCGGTTCGAAGGTTCACGATTCAATCGAACCTCGGCACTTTTTCAATAATAAATCGATTACGGAAAAATGATATTACTCGATTCGAAGCACCCGGTTTCGTTACCATCGAATCGATCTTACCGTAAAATTTATTTCTCTTACAATCTTCCAGCGCATTCAGCGTTACACGATTTATCGTTGCCGGATCTCTCGAAGCCTGCGGAATAATACTGTTTGACTTTTTTTTCCCTGATCGCAAACTAAGATTAGATGGTTTCCGGAGTCATCCGACCTTTTTTTAGAACCGATGACGACGGTCATCGGCGACTGACCGTCGAATTACACAATTCATCCTCGCACGTCCGTCTTTCGCAGCCTGTACCATTGTAATGGAACGGCCGGTCGGATCCTTGTTGTATCGCCGCGTCGATCATCGACAATGGACCCGTCCGCGTGACGCGGCAATTTCGAACGATCGCGGCAAATCGAATTGCCGCGATTTTTCTCCGCGGAACGGGACGACCGTGTAACGCGAGGCGGTAATTCAGACGCCGAGCGTGAAATCACAGGCATCTCCCGCGGAATGGAATTGCATCGCGGGGAAAATGAAATCAGAATATCTGGGCGACGTGCTAGATTTATGGCCGGGAAACAACATTCCCGAGTTCTTCTGGCCTGGAAAAAAATTATCTACACGCTGACCATTCTGAGCGTCTCCCCTGAGTTATCGTCCGGTGTTCCAAGAGTCCCGCCATTTCTGTTCCGAAGCTATCTCTCGCCGGAATACACCCACCAAAAGTTGTTCTACGATTGTAAAATATTTTGAGTATTCTAAGACTTAAGTTCCAATTGTTTTTGAACCAGGAAGGAGCCATTGAACCGCCCTTTCAAAGAAAATTAGAGTAATCGTGAATTTGTCAGACTTTCATCGAAAGATCACAATTATTAGTTATTCTTGTAGCATGTTTTATTTGTTTTATTGTTGTAGCACTCTCTTTAGTTCTGCTAGGTCTATGACAGTTCGAAAATCAGTCCCGGTTACTATATCGGAAAAATCGATTTTTATGGAATAATTGAAAAGAGGAAAGATTGTTCCTTCGCAAGCACCGTGAAAGGAATCGCGCGCACGTTCGCAGAAATTTTGCGAACGTTGTTTTGCGATCGTTCAACGTATCCATATGGCGAACGCTACGGAGCTATAAAGGCCAAGGGGCGAGACTAATTTGTATGTATCGCATTGCCTACATCGAATTCGCGTGAATTAATGAGGTGTCTCTCGTCGTGACTCAGTATGCTGCCGGCGAAATACGTGCAGCGAGTTTCTTAGCTCGTTTTTCGACTCCTTCGTACAACAAAATTCGACCAATAAAAAAAAGACAATGATGTCTGCTCTCGCACCGTGGTCTCCCGAAACAGAAATTACTGTTGATCGCCGCTCGCAGTGCTCCCAAGCGAGCTCCCTGCACTTCGCAGCAAGAATCAATCGCGCGCGCAAATTATTTTCCTCGTCACTTCCCAAAGTGAAGTACGTGCGGACGCTCCGCCTTCGATAAACATTTCTTTCTACCCAGAAGGCATCGAGCTTCCAGAATGGTTGCGCAACGAGAACACGATTATTTCCGTGCTCGTCTCGGATCGATCGAATATAATTCACGAGCCCAAAGTCCACTCTATATCGACCGAATCCGATCGTAATCAGTGCGACGATAAACGAAAACGTAACGAGACAAACGTAGTCGGCTCTCGCCGATCGAAATCGGGAATCGATGTCCGCGGGTTTTCCTCGAAGCCAACGGGGGCCGGAAAGAAGGGGAATAAAAACGAGAGAGATAGACAATGCGGCGCAAATACGCGTCCGCGGCGTGTTGCCGGCATATTTACACGCTTAATTCGCGCTTTCCGGTTGCGCAATCGTTCCTCGAAAATGTAAGAAGAAACGAGGAAGACGAGTCATCGCGCTCGACGAAACTGCGGCGGCGATGAAGAAGAAGAAGAAGAAGAAGAAGAAGAAGAAGAAGAAGAAGAGGAAGAAGAAGACGAAAAAATCACGCCGGGAAAGATCGTTATCCGCCGACGAGTCCCGGCGCTCGAACTCAAATAAAAACGGTGCGAGAAAATTTCTGGTGTCGGTTGCGTCTACGTGCATCGTCTCGATCGGCAGTTAATCGGCTGCAGCCTCGGCTGTACAAAATCGTGGTTTCCGGTCGACCGATCGTAAAGAATTCGATGAAACAGGCGAGACAAGAAAAAGCGAGTCGGCGAAGCTGTTTCGATAAACACCATCGGGCAAAAATCTACGAGAGATCCATTCCGTTCGATTACTCACGGCGATCAGATCGGTGCGGGGGTCGATCGGCGAAGACGTTAGTCGAGCCAGTGGTCGTGAAGGTTTCGGCGGCAGCTCCATCTTCTCAGCTGACTTTCTTCGAAACCGTCCTTCCCCGGTTCCTGCATCCCCTCGTCCTCCTCGCCCCTGTTCTCCGTGCTGGTTCTCCATCGATCCAACATTCGTAACAAGTCGATGAATCGGTTCTCGAGCGATCGTACCTCCTCGTCGGTCCGTTCCTCCATGGCTCGGCTGAACGGTTCCAAGAGAATTATTCCAAAGCTTGGAGGCGGCCACCGAGGCAAGATGACGATCAAGGGATCCAGAGGAGAGTGATCACGGATCCCGATGCTGGCACACAGCAGACTGATTCGTTCCTCGTTGCTGACGTTGCTGCCAGCTGCTCGACTACTGTGTGCTCGATGAAGAGAGAGAGCAACGACGACCTTTACGGTCGCCCGGTAGTGCGAGTTCTCCAACGAAACGCACGGAACCTGCCTCCATCCCCCACCAGGCGGCCTCTCGCCCCCTGTGACCCCTACCCCACCGCCCCGTTGATCGCTCTCGCCGCCAGCTACCCTCCTCTGTCGCTCTCCGGCCGATCAGGAAACCTGCCTTCTCCTTCGCTTCCCCCGAAATCCTCCCCACACCGTGTTTTCTCCACCTGTCGCACTCCAGCTCCCTCTGTGTTTTCGTTCCTCTCCCTCCCGACCGGGAAAAGGTCAAGAGGGTGGCTTTCGCTGCTGCTGGTCCTGGCGAGCCTCCCGGTACACCCATGTATCCCGAGATATTTCTCCATCGGTTGTCCTTTGAGAGAGAGAGACNATAAACATTTCTTTCTACCCAGAAGGCATCGAGCTTCCAGAATGGTTGCGCAACGAGAACACGATTATTTCCGTGCTCGTCTCGGATCGATCGAATATAATTCACGAGCCCAAAGTCCACTCTATATCGACCGAATCCGATCGTAATCAGTGCGACGATAAACGAAAACGTAACGAGACAAACGTAGTCGGCTCTCGCCGATCGAAATCGGGAATCGATGTCCGCGGGTTTTCCTCGAAGCCAACGGGGGCCGGAAAGAAGGGGAATAAAAACGAGAGAGATAGACAATGCGGCGCAAATACGCGTCCGCGGCGTGTTGCCGGCATATTTACACGCTTAATTCGCGCTTTCCGGTTGCGCAATCGTTCCTCGAAAATGTAAGAAGAAACGAGGAAGACGAGTCATCGCGCTCGACGAAACTGCGGCGGCGATGAAGAAGAAGAAGAAGAAGAAGAAGAAGAAGAAGAAGAAGAAGAGGAAGAAGAAGACGAAAAAATCACGCCGGGAAAGATCGTTATCCGCCGACGAGTCCCGGCGCTCGAACTCAAATAAAAACG